ATTTAAGGATTATTCGCTTGGCTTTGCCCGCTCTGTTTTGGTCTTAATTGCCTTTTACCGTTTCCAGGTCAATATAAGTGAATTTAGCTGTGTACACTGTAAATTTCAAGGAGTTCAATCAACTCAAAATGTTTTATTTTGTAACCAAACAGGTCTAAAACGACTACAGAATAACATTTTGGAGTTAATTATACAGACTCCTTGAAATTTACAGTGTATTGTACATAAATTGGCAACAATTTTTGCCAGCTGAAAAGAATTTTCTAAAGAACGAGTCACAAACATTAGTCACTTTTATCTTACAAAGTCAATCTCAAAACGTGATAATTTTAGGTTCCGTTTTTATACTGGGTCTTTGTCCGCACAAATCCGTTTTCGTATAGTGTTTTCTATATTTCCTTGTAAACGGATAACAATATCGTACCTAAGGATTAGTCTGGGCTTATTATAAATGTTTTAGTTCGATATATAATCTTAGTTTAATTTTCATACATGAACGGGTGTAGTATATGTATATGTATATGTATATGTATATGTATATGTATATGTATATGTTATAATAAATTTATTTTAAAGATGAACGCGTGTTGTATATTTGAGTTAATGTTGCATTTCATTATTACAAATGATTACTCTGATTTTTACATGTTCTTATAATAATTACCGAAGCATGAACCTTGAGTCAAGCAAGACCGGGTTTTTGTACTCATAATCCATGAATAATACTGTATTGTCAGAAAATATGACACAAATTCGAGATTTTCAATTTAAAAAGCGCAATAAAAAGCCCAACGTCACAAGCGATGCAACTTATTGCAAATATAATAGAGCGACTAAATAGAACTAAAATGGCACTTACACAAAGTTTAATCAATGTATGAAATGTGATTAATTCATTCTTTATGTCGCTTTAAGCGGTCTTTAATCAACTGATTAAATTTACCTTTAATAACCTATAAGCAACACATTTTTGTATGATTAAAGTTGTCTTTAATCAACAATTCTATCAATATTAAAGGCGACTAAATACATCTTTAACCGCATTTTATCGGCCTTTAATCGGCCGAATTAAATGCACACTTAGTATCCTTTATTGAACTTTAATCTCTGGGTATTAATGTGGTCGTTAATACACTTAATGCAACGAACTAAAGGTGTTAAAACGCACCTTTAATCTCTTTAATAAAACGCATTAAGTGCGACTAAACACGAATAAAATACACCATTAATCCTACTTTAATAGCATATTAAAGGTGCGCTTTTCGTCCTGTGAATATTCATGGCTAATTTTCAATATCCACAGCTTGCACGCTGTATAGCTCCCACTTAAGCTGCCTGTTGAGTTCAAGCCGCGAAATTAAAATTTTTTAACCTATACGACTTTAAGCCCCGGAAATCGATAATTACGGATGTCGTAACCATTAGAAGCGTGAATATCATTGGTTGACGGCAAAGTCCAAGCCTTACATGGCATTTTTAAACCTATAGTGGCGTGCGCTGCTAAATAAATACGAAATTTTTAAAAATTTATTCATGCTGGTCTATTGAAACAGAAAATTGCACACACATTCCTTATTACCTAAGCTGGCTAATTTTTGCCACAATGTTTGGCCAATTCTGAACAGATTCGTCGCTATTTTGCGCACACTTTGCGAGTGTTGTCATATTTTCATTGACACAAAACATGTCATATGAAATATCTGGTCATTACATAAACTTTGAGACGCTGCGTACTATAAATATTCAGAAGAGAGCCAAAATTTGCGGAGAAAATCGCACATAATTTAATTGAAACAAGTATACTACCAAAATTGACGAAATAAGCATACTGAAAATGAGATTAATCGATGTTGTCTGTACATGACAATGAAACAATCAGTCATTCTTTTGTATGCGCCACCCACCTAAAAGAAGATAAAGGCGTCTTTGTTCAAATCCCTTAAACCGTGTGGCTATAACAAAGAGTTTTATTAGTATATTATTACAATTTACAGGTTCTTCCTGTGATAAGACGAAAAAGTCAGCCAAAAGACTTCATTGCAATTTCATTCAATAATTCAGATAGCAAAGCGAAAGCAAAAGGGGTTACTATAAAGTACTACAAAAAGACGAAATGAGAAAAGGAAGCTCGCCTTGGCTATATACGGCATTGATAATCGAATTTTTCTTTGCTTTTCGTGATGTCAGATCAGGTATATACATAAGTATGATCAATTACGTCAGTAGATTACGACGATAGATAAACTTCCCGTTTTAATACAAGTTAGCCAACAGTACTAACTGTTGTTCCAGTAAAACAACCTAACTGTATATTAGCACAGCATGGCAGAGCCAATCTGTAATCAGTAAGGCTTTGTGTGTTGCTATTCTTCCATTTCTATCGCACGGCGATAGGGTTGCTGAGGCATGCACGAGTGCCTGATTTAAATGATAAAGCAAATAAGAACAGGGCACCATTTGCGTGTTTACAATACAGCTTCAAACCTGTCTAATAAATCCAGATTGCATACATCAATAAGTTGACGTTCGACCACGCACATTTGACAAACAAATAGGAAGAAAATAGGGAGACAAAGAACTGAAATAGGGAGACATAGAAATTTTGTCACAGATCCCTCGAAATATGGCTTGTGCTATACTGCATTCAAATTAATCGAATGAATACCAATTTTGATTAAAGTGTGGATACGAAACGAACATTTTTATCGTCGTATTTCAGAGAACTATAAAAACTATAGAGTAACATCTTTTGCAGTTTTTCGTTCCTTTTCTTCGTGTTCGAGATACTTCAGTTAGTTTGACATTCGTGTCATGGTTTCTACATCACACGAGAGCTATTGGCGACAACGTAAGCAAAATAATAAAAAGTTTCTTATTGCATGGCCGCCAGAAAATCGACTGCATGATCGGACATTGCTGCACTGCTCACGGCAATGAATTGCAAGTGGGGCTTCAAAAACTCAAAATAATCGAAATTTTATCGAGATTTTGATCATTCATAGCCTATCGAAGGAATATGGCTGTAAAGCTCATTAGAATAACAATATATAATAGTTTTGTTTGTGGAAACACCACGTAAATTTATTACTGCGCATGCAAAGCTTTCGATTCGTAGGCCCGGATCTTCATCAGTGCTAATAATATCATAGATTAAGTAAGAACAGATGTGTAACTTCAGTAAAATAATTTTCAGTGATAATTCGTCATTTGGCAATACGTCATTGCTTTCAAGGGAGCTTTCAACACATTTTCTACAACTTTAATTGCTTTCAACAACTTTAAACATTCAACAAATGATGCTCTTGATTGTTTAATCCATGAATTTCGACCTAAAAAGCCGCAATAAAATGCAAAAGCTCGTGTTTTTCGGAACGCCATTTTGCCAGCAAGTGTCATGGCCTGCCTCCCCGGTATGTATCTGCGAAAACTTCACTCTACTCACAATAAAAATCGCTAAAAATCTTAGAATATAAAAAATATATTGATAAGCTCTCGCTGTTGTTTTCCCACTACATACATAATTAGTATTCCATGTGCTCGCGTGTAGCACACGCGGGATGTCCACGTAATTAACCGTTCAGTTCCCACACACTCCCTCGTATACACTCTATAAGAGGTGTATACAATAACACAACACAAAATGTTAAATTTAGAATAATTGTCAATATCTCAAGATCACTGTACGTTACTTTTTCTTTCTCCTACTCATCAACCGCTGCTTCGATCTGTTCAATACGGAGTTTCGCTGCAGTCGCCGCGTCTCGCCGAGGGCGTGGCTCGAATTCTACCTCATCCGGGTTCAGGATTGGCACTTCCGGTACGACATCGCAGCTCAGTTCTAACGGAAAAAGCAGCTGCACGGCTCTTTCCAAGGTTCCTTTTGGAGTCTTCAGACGTACTCCCCGTATCACGTTATCCTTTCCAGGGTAGGTTTCTTCTACGATTCCTAGAGGCCACGTACCTCGATCCTTGCTCTCGGTCTGTATCAACACAACGTCTCCAGGCTTAGGTTGGAACTTGCCTTTCTTGTGGGTCATGTTGTGTCTTTCCCGTAAGGCTACCAGGTATTCTTTTCTCCAACGCCGCCACAGCTTGTTCTTACATTCGATTAGATATTTTGCTCGTTTTCTCAGTTCTCGTTCTTCGATTCGCCATGGTTCTTCCATAGGGAGTTGGCACGTGCGTTGATGGAGGAACGTAGCTGGGGTGAGGGTTGGTAACTGGATGTCGTCCTCAACGTACGACAGTGGTCGGTGGTTGATTTGAATTTCAACGTCGAGCAGAACCTCACTTAGTTCGTCCCAAGTGAGATGACCTCCCCCGATCACCTTGTACATAGCTGACTTGACTACCCCGATGAGGCGCTCGAATTGGCCGCCCCACCAGGGTGCACGACTCAGGTTAAATTTCCATTTAATATCGTACTCTTCCGCGAAGCCTAGTAAACTCTCGTCTTTCCGTAATTGTTCCAGCCATTTGCTGGCTTTGACGAACGCGCCGCCATTATCGGAATAAACCACGCGTGGTCGTCCGCGCCGAGCGATAAATCGTTTCAAAGACACGATGAAGGTACTGGTTTCAAGGTTCCGCAACTGTTCTAAGTGAACAGCTCTCGACAAGCTGAAAGCAAATATCACGAGGTAAGTCTTCCCTTCTGCTTTCGAGGATTTCCGAAACTTCATTGGCCCAGAAAAATCGACTCCGATCACATCAAACGCTGCACCAGGTGTGATTCTGTCCTTCGGTAATTGTCCAGCCACTGGAGTTGTAAAGGAAGTAATATATAAGGCGAAATTTCTTGTATCCCCAACATCGACTGCGTATCATTTTCACGAGGCTTCGAAGGCGAGGGATCCAGAATGTTTCTCGCACCGCCGCCATCGTAAGTCCGACACCGCCATGTAGCGTTTTCAGTGGACACGTTGCACAAGCTTTTCCGTAAATACTGCGTTCCGTGGTAAATAGATAGGGTGGATTCCTTGCATTCTTCCGATGCATACTATAATTCCTCGATCGTCCGTCTCAAGACCAAGTTGCGCGCTGGTTTCCTTATAATGTTGTTCGACCGTGTCTCGGAGTTGAACGAGTTTGATCCACCAAAACTTTGCCGTCTCAATCTCTTCCGTATCCAAAGGTCCTGATCTCTTTTCTTTGGCACGGCAGTTGTGAATAAATCGGTTTATCCACGCAGACACTCTCAGTGTTCGACGCAGCGTGTTTCTTTCGAGAAGTTTGTCCAACTCGTCTGTTGTTGTTTCGGTGGATTTGGCTATGTAGACGAGGTCTCGACTAATCTTGGTTTCAGCTGCCGATTCGGGTGATGATTTTGTGACCGGATTGTCTGGCCAATTTGCTGGATCACTGAGCCATTCTGGGCCCGACTGCCACAGTGATGAAGATATGGGACCGCCTCTGCTAGCAATGTCCGCGGGGTTGTCCTTTGTTGGAACATGTCGCCACTGAATTGATGGGTGAGCCTGGATCTTCGCAACACGATTGGCGACGAATTGCTTGTAGGCCCCATTACCAACTATCCAGTGCAGAGCCACTGTGCGGTCAAGCCATGCGAACATCAACGGTTGCGGTTCTTTTGGTAGGGCGTCCCGAACATTCACTAGAAGATTTGTCGCCATGTGAGCCCCGACCAGTTCCAGACGTGGAACCGACAAATTTCTCTTTGCTAGCAGACTCTTTGCTGCCACCAACTGCTGTGTAGTTCCCGACTGCTGTCTAACCACTGCGTAAACTGCTGTCCCTACACCTTTTGTAGACGCATCACCGAAGGAATGTAATACAATCTCATCAATTGGTTCCTGGTATCTCGCAATAGATCTCGGTACTTCTTCCTCTACGGGTAAGGATTGTTCCCAGGTTCGCCAACGTTTCAACTGTTCGTTATTAATTTCAACATCCCACGGGAGTTTTGCATCGCACACGTCGCGGAATAGGAGTTTCCCCTCCAAGGTCAGCGGTAAAACCAACCCTAGAGGGTCATAAATCTTTGCCTGTTTACTTAAGATACCTCGCTTCGTCAGCGGTACTTCTTCGCTTGGAAATGAAATCTTTAATGTGTCACTTTGTTTGTCCCATTTCAGACCGAGCACTTGCGATTCTTTGGGTTTCAGTATCAGCTGTGTCTTTGCATAAGACTGTTCGTCAGAAAGTTCAGATACTTGATAAACCTCGTCAACTGCCAACTGCGGTACATTGGAGCTCCACTTATGAAGTTCAAATGTAGCGTCCTGTAAAATTTCTCGGGAATTTCTTTGCGTCTCGTAGCTTGCTCCACTGTCGAACCACCGCTTAGTAGATCATCCACGTGCATGCTTCGACGTAGATGCTCGACTTCTTCAGGATAAGTTTTGGACCAGGTGTCTAAATGAGTCTCGATTACACCATGGAGTAGATAAGGTGAAGGTACAAGACCAAATAAGACCCTCGTGAACCGTAAGGTCTCCAATGGTGACAGATCATCCCGACGCCAATGAAACCGCAGCACGTCTCTCTCAGCTGCTTTGATCCGGATTTGCAGGAAGGCTTGACGTATATCACTGGAAACCATCACTGGGAACGCTCTTTGCTGTATCAATACGTCCCAAAGCTTATTCTGGAGGGGTGGACCAGGGTATAAACATTCGTTTAGGGAAGGTGATGATGGGTCTTCTTTCGCTGAATCGTCGTAGACGACTCGCAATTTTGTTGTCTCTGATGACTCCTTGACCACGCCCTTATGAGGGATGTAGAACTCTTTATCAGTGACTGTTGTAGGTGCCTCTTCCACAATGCCTTCTTGGAGTTGTGCTCGAATAACCGCGTCGTATTCTTCGATGTGCCCATCTCGCTTCAACTTCTTTGTTAGACTACTCAGACTACGGAGACTTCCGTGTCTGTTGGCCGGCAGATGGGGATGATTGCTCCACCAGGGCAGTCCTGTCTCGTACCATCCTTACTAGCTGATCGTTGCAATTGTTCCTTGAACTCTGCATGCACTATGTCCTGATCGTGTTCTGTGGAATCTTTGAGCCCCAACACATCAAGACGACACAGTTCCTCATAATCTACATGGCTGGTCTGGGTAAGAAACATGGTTTGCCGGTCGATTTCATTTCCGGGCGACATGATGAATCACCCCAGTTTGGTGTATTCAGCAACAGGTTCTCCAGCTTCACCTACCACTGGTGGTCGGTTGGTCTTAATTTTCGCATAGTCACCCACGCTTAGAATAACATGAATCGGTAATTGGTCTTTCTTGTCGTTGTCGGTCAAGTTAACTTGTGCTAGGTGGGGGTACCTGGCTTTAACGTGTTCGTACTGTGGATTTTCTATCGACAACAGTTCGTTCTTGTCAACCTTTGTGAGCTTTGCATCCATCTTGAAGGAGTTGTCAAGGGATTCAACAATAACATCATACGTTTCCATTCTCGTAAGGTGCGAGCCCATTAACATCTCGATACGTTTGGTTGAAGCTTCCGAGGGTTTCTTGTTCAGCAAATCTCCGACTTTAGCTGAGATATAAGAGCTGCTGGCTCCTGTATCGATCAGTGCTCTCGTTATGATTCCGTCCACTTTAAGCATTACCACTGGGAAAACTCTTTCCCCCACTCCACTTGGTGTTAATACCACTTTCTTGATCTCTTCCGGTTGAGTTTTGTCACATTTTGAAGTATGATGTCTCCTATGACAAGTTTGGCATGATGTTTTGCTTTGGCATTGTGCGGCCCGATGAGTCCCAACCGCACAGTTGAAACACAATCGCTTCTTCGCCAGAATCTGTTTCCGGTCAGCTACGGCAGTAACTTTAGTGCATTCAACAGCTTTGTGCTCACTACTGTCGCAGTAGATGCACCCTCGAGGTTTGTCAGTTCTATTGGGGAGGTACATTCTCTCTCGTTCTCGACGCTTCTTCGTTTGATCATCATCTCGACTATGATCAACTGGGTTTCTCCGTATCCAAAGACGTACTGCTTTTGCTAGCTGATCAAGATTCCATGTCTCCCAATTACTATCTTATCTTACAAGGTCACTCCGTATGCCTGGCAACTTTTCAATAGTAACCATAGTAAGACCCTTCACTTTGTCCAGCTTCTTGAGCGACTGCAGGGACTGGACACAATATGTCAGTTTGTCACTAAACTCGGCAATTTTCTTCGAATTCGCTGTCGAAATGTATGGTAAGCTCAAAATTTCTTTCGCATAAGACTTTACTAACTCTGATTCTTTGCCATATTTTTCCTCCAATATAACCTTTGCTCGATTGTAGCCTTCCGATGTAAATGGTAAGGACTCAACTTCACGTCTGGCATTGTCTCCAAGAAATTCTCTCAGATATGAAAATTTGGCAATGTTTGCTAAACCAGATTTTTCAATCGATTCGGTGAATTGACCCCAAAAACGTTGCCAATCCATGTAATTTCCGTCAAATTTTGATATTACGAGTTTCGGTAGTTTCGCTTCCACTTGCTTGGCATGAATTTCCTTCGACGAACTTCCACTTTCCAACTTCGCTTGATGTTCGGACTCGAGTTTTAGTTTAGTTTCATGTAGTTTTAACTCGTATTTCAATTTCTCTTCGAAAGCATTTCTCTCCTTTTCCAGTTTGCAATCGTCCTGCCATTTCTCTAAGCGCTTCACATCGTCGTCTGCTTTCTCTAGCTCAGTCTCTACTTGAGAATTCCGCGTAGCGACTTCGTCCTCGTTCACTTTTTGCTCGATTTTCAACGCTTCTACGCCTCGTCTCGATGTTTCTACCTCGTTTGTTAACGCTTTTAAAGCTTCCAGTTGTCGTTTAATCGCAGTATCTTTATTAGAATCGAGCACCGAATCAGTTCGCTTGTATGTCAACAGAAGTTGTTTTAATTTAACGTCGAACGTCGACATCGCGTTGGCGTCTGCCATTCGTAAACAATCGCGTTTAAAATCACCGAAAAATCGTCGAATATAACAACAATATCACTAAATCCCGTCTCGGAGGTGCCACGTTTCGCAAATTACCTGTCTCCCCGGTATGTATCTGCGAAAAATTCACTCTACTCACAATAAAAATCACTAAAAATCTTAGAATATAAAAAATATATTGATAAGCTCTCGCTGTTGTTTTCCCGCTACATACATAATTAGTATTCCATGTGCTCGCGTGTAGCACACGCGAGATGTCCACGTAATTAACCGTTCAGTTCCGACAGACGTGCACATTTAGGGAAATTTGAGGACACGAAGTCCTATTAAGTTACACATCTGGTATATACTTCATCTGTGATAATATGTGACTTGTTTAATTCACACGCCCTTTTTATATACAAAAGTGTCGTGATCTGTTGGCTCGCGTCATTTGAAATTTAGTTAAACGGCACATCAACCAGGTCATTTCAAACGTAGTGAAGTGATTCCAAATAACGCGCGCGCATCCAAGACAAGAGACATTAATTTTGCACATTAAAGAGAGCACGCCACGTACTATCTATTGGCTTTCCCTCCTGATCTATGGTATTGTGCTTCTCGATGACAATTGACTCTCTCATTTTGCGAGAGAACTTATGACTATCAATCGCCAAAATGGTTGCTTCGTCCCATTTTATACGATGGTCGTAAGTCCAAGTATGTTTAGCCACAGCAGATTTATCTTGTTCGACTTTCTCGCAATTCGTCTTGTGTTCCTTAAAACGTACTGAGCGATTTCGACCAGTTTCACCAATGTAAAGCAGACCACATTCACAAGGAATGCGGTACACACCAGGTTTCTGAGATTCATTTCGAGCTCGAAACAATTTGTTTTCGCTGCAATGGTATACCTTTATACCTGCTTCATTCCTCAAAATTCTTTCGATTTTGTGTGAAGCCGGACCAATGTATGGTAGACAAACAGATCGCGACGACTGATATTCAATCTTCTGTTGTATACTTTGTGGTGTTTTCATAGCATTATCTATGAAATGCCGTGGGTAACCATTCAGTTTTAGAACATTTCTTAAATGTTCTAATTCATCGTCAATGTTACTTACCTCACAAATTGTTTTCGCTCGGTTGATGAGAGTCTTACACACAGAGTTTTTCATACTAGGATGATGAAATGAATTATAATGCAGATACCTGTCTGTGTGTGTTGGTTTCCTATAAACCCTATGCCCTAGCGGCCCATCATCATGTATAGTGAACAGAACATCTAAGAATGGTTAAGTTTTATCATCCTTCTGCACTTTAAAAGTAAACTTGATGGATGGATGCAAACTATTAATCTGGTCTAGAAACCTTTGTAAATTATCTAGTCCATGAGACCAGCTGCTCAATGTATCATCCAGTACGTATATCTGAACCAGAACTGACCAGGTTTCAACGTTGCAGTAGCTAAGGCCTTCTTTTCAAATTCCCCCATGAACAAATTAGCCATAACAGGCAACAATGGACTTCTCATTGGAGCGCCGTTTATTTGTTCATAGAATTTCTCCCGCCATTGAAAACATGTCGTGGTCAAACATAGTTTCAACAAATCATGAACATTCTCAGGAGAAAAATTAGATCTTTGAGAAAATGTAATATCTGAAAGAAGTCTTTCTTTCGCGATATTACAAGCCTCTTCAACTGGAACATTAGTGAACAAGTTACGTCAAAACTTACCAGAATGTCATTCTTACACAATCTAATTTGTTCCATTTTTGTTACAAATTCTTTAGAATTTACTACATGATTTTCTGTTTTTCCAATAACTGGCGAGATATTTAGCCAGGGCATACGTTGGCGAACCTATGGACGCTACAATAGGTCTTAGTGGGACATTAGGTTTATGTATCTTAGATAAAGCATAAAATTTTGGACAAACAGTAGCTGAAGGTCTCAAACAGTTATGAAGTGTTTGAGACAAAATACCTGCCTTTTTAAAACCAGATAGTTTGAGACATATTTTACGTTCAATGTTAGCTGTAGGGTTTCTTTTAAGCTCTTTATAAGTTGAAGTGTTTAAAAGAGCAGATAAGAGCAGATAAGAGCAGATAAGAGCAGATAAGAGCAGATAAGAGCAGATAAGATTAGATAAGAGCAGATAAGTCAATAATTATTTTAAATGCTGCATGATAAGGGTAACGCTATGGTTATTTTAGATCGTCTAGAATATGATAATTAAATCTTGGCTCTTTAAACACTACAACTTATAAAGAACTTAAAAGAGACCCTACAGCTAACATTGAACGTAAAATATGTTCCAAACTATCTGGTTTTAAAAAGGCAGGTATTTTGTCTCAAACACGTCATGGTTTACCTAAGATACATAAACCTAATGTCCCATGCACTAGTTAACATTCATCGAAGCACGTAAACGAACGTATATTCAGTTATCTTAATTTGCGAAATTGAATTCTGATTGGCTCCACATGCAATATGTGTAAATGAGACCATAGATATGCATGTTGTTTGTAAAATGTGCGAATTCTAAAGACTTTATCATGTTGTCAGTTAATCACAATTTCGATTTGAAGCTATGTCGACATGTGTAGTCGTGTAGATCACTATAGAGTCTACAGATTGCCTAACGTACTATTGCATCGTGCGAAAATATGTTTGCATATACAAAGTTTTCATTCTCGTGCAGACATAGTCCATGTCCATGCAACTATTTGGCATTTGCACAGAAAATGTTTGAATCTTAAAACTTCTCCAGACACTAAGAGTCACAAGAGAATACATTAATTAGTCGTTCAGACTGGCCGTAAAAAATTTCTAGCTATCCATTTTTTTCTATAGATTTTAAATCAAAATCGTTTTACTCTGGCTCGTCGTGTTTATATACATGCTTCAATGCTGAAATATTGTTGACATGTACATGTCTTCGCTATAAATCTCGTAATGTCATGATTGATTCATGAACGAATTTAAACTCTTCACAAATATGTTTGCCTTTGGCTTTGGGAATCGAAATATTTACGAAACATACTGTATTGAGTAGCGCAATGACAATGTCTATAGTATAGACATCTGTTGCAATTTTGCCCTTTGGGAATTGTGTTTACTTTCATGCAAATTCATATACAGTACAGCATAATATGATATGGCACGGACTGTCGAGTCATCAAATTCCATTGAAAATGAACTAAATTGTTTTAATGAGGATTTACGTTCGTTTACGTGCTTCGGTGCATGTTAACTACAATGACCTATTGTAGCGTCCATAGGTTCCCCAACGTATGCCCTGGCTAAATATCTCGCTGAGATATTGAAACCAATTGTTTGAAAAACAGAACATCATGTAGTAAATTCTAAAGAATTTGTAACAAAAATGGAACAAATTAGATTGGGTAAGAATGACAACCATGAAGGATTTATACTCGTTGACGTTGTTATGGTAATACGATAATATTATTTTAAGAACATTTTAAAATTCAAAAATCCCCTAAAATATCACAAAATTATCAATTTCCCAAAAATAAATATGTTGGGTATGTTATTGTACGTTATTATGTGTATTATAAGCTTCAATTTAATATAAAATTCAACCACAAACGCGTCGCAAAACGTTTTAAAATGTTCTTAATTCTTAAAACTAAACTACCTTTTATCGATAAGCTATGAATATGAAATAAAATGAAAACAATACATCAATATTTCAAACAAACTTACCTTCTTTGGGTTTTACAATTTCCAGCAATTTATTGACCCATTCTTATAAACAAATAAATTGTTCGGCTGTACGTCTCATTAGCGATATTTCGGGTTTCAAAATAAACTGGTTTTTCAGTCTCTGGTAGCAAACGTCGATGTCCTTGCTAGGTTCTTTTAGCAAGTCTTCTGGCTTTTCCAATGCACGTCTTCTTGTCGGTTTCCGCCTTCTTTTTTAATTTTCTCAAAAGAGACCGTATAAGAAACTCAACAACTTTGCAAAATCTTTTAAAAAGCAGATATATTATAATTATTTAATTTTCAAATAGTGTCCGTTATTATGCTGTCGTGATGCAGTCGTCAAGCGAAATTTAAATTTGACCAATTTGACCAATTTGTCATTTCTATGACAGTCCGCCGTATTTTTGAGATCAGTGAGGAGGTCCACCCTTGGATCATAGCCATGCGCCCACGATATTTGATGAACTTTAGGCTTCGCTAGTGCGTTCCTTTCCCCGGGTGTAAATAGCCGGACGGAATCAGTACCCTCGCCTCGAGCTTACGCACGGAACGGCGCTCCGCGCCGTTGGCTCGGGGATACCATTTTCTGTAATCATAGATAATAGAATAGATGGTTTGGAAACTCATTACAATAACAATATAACTCATTATCGATGTTAGTCAACGTTTATTCATAAATATGTTCCTTCACCGTCACGTGTGTATTGTATTTTTGCCACATCCACCAATAGCAATTTCCAATCTATCCTATTGTTCAAGTCGCGGATAGGTAACTTTCCTAAAATATTGCTATTGGTTAGTTGGGCAAAAATACAATACGCACGTGACGGTGAAGGACCAGATTTATGAATAAACGTTGACTAACATAGATAATGAGTATATTGTTATTCTAATGAGTTTCCAAACCATCTATTCTATTAATACGGTGGCCGATAAGGGTCATTCACGCACAAAAACTGAAATCACCCCACAATATCACGAAACACGCCAACAAATGGGTGATTCACGCCACAATTTCACGATTCACGCCACAAAGAAACCGCTGACCAATCACGGTCTCAATATTCATTAAATTCATTATTTCCCGCCTTTTCCCGAAACAGCATGACAGTATGAAATAAGCGTAAACATGGCTGACAACGGGCAGTGTATTCAGTGTGGAGAAGCTGTCGTGGATTTCTTTAACTTTTGTTAGGCTGCATGTGGCTGATCCGGTTAATCAGGATGTCAAAGACTATCTTAAGGGGAGGTCAACCCAAAACTAAGGCTCACAG